GAGAGAGAAAAAGGAAAGTGAAAGGAAAAAAAAACTGTTCAGCTGTTCATCCAAATGGTTCACGAAATAACACGGGGAAGCCTGGAATTGTAGACCGATAAATCTTCTCTTCTGGATAAAAAAAAAGGCTTTACAATTTTTTTTTTTTTTTTTGGGGGGGGTGAGGGGGGGGATTTTTGGATTTTGACCTCGTATGTGTATGTGGGAGGGATGTATGTGAGGGGATATGTGTGTGTGTGTGTGTGTGTGTGTGTGTGTGTGTGTGTGTGTGTGTGTGTGTGTGTGTGTGTGTGTGAGAAGAGAGAGAGAGAGAGAGAGAGAGAGAGAGAGAGAGAGAGAGAGAGAGAGAGAGAGAGAGAGAGAGAGAGAGAGAGAGAGAGAGAGAGAGTTCTAAAGACCACTTGTTCCTCCGTATGTCAAGACGTTTAGCAGCTTCTTTCAGACAAAAGAAAATATCAGATCAATCACGAATCTCAATAAATCACCGCCTGCTAATCATTCAGGGGGCGTCGAGCCCAAAATACCAATATATCAAAAGAGATTAATAACGGCCCACGGACGTCGGCAGAGCCCAAAATGTACCTTGAAAATATTTGAGAAATGACTTATCACACCAGCTGTTGATCAGGCTACGAATATCAATAAAAGAGCAATTCATATATTGCAAGTTATATACATACATACATACATACATACATATATAGATACAAACATACATGCATATATACATACACACACACACACACACACGTGTGTATACGTGTATGTGTGTGTGTGTGTGTATGTATGTATGTATGTATGTATGTATGTATGTATGTGTGTGTGTGTGTGTGTGTGTGTGTATGTGTGTGTGTGTGCGTGTGTTTGTGTGTGTTTGTGTGTGTGTGCACATGTACCCGCGCGTGTTTATGCTTTGTCGACACAACGGACAGACCCAAACTTAGACACACATACTCACCCAATTACGTAGCTATATGATCATACAAAACACACGCCATAATTAGAAAAAAAATGCAAATTCCAAAAGGACACGCATACAATTACGCGTTATAAAAATCGTAAAACAAAAAAAAGTGTTAATATCAGGCTAGTCATCCAAACCCCCCTCTCCCCCTCTTTACTGTCCCCGCCCCTCCCACTCCCTCTCCCCCTCCCCCCCTCTCCCCCCACAATTCGTCCCCTAACATAACCCCAAACAAATATGTGTATTAAAAACATAATTCCACATTTTTCCCCCGTTGATGAGAATAGTTTTGTTTCCACTTTCCTCGACCAATCATCAGGTCTGTTCTATCATGGGGAAAAAAATCATGAAAAAAAAAAATATATATATATGCTAATTCTCATCCACTCCCCCCCCCCTCCCCCTCCCCGTGATAATCACACTAATGTACAGAATCACAACTTTAATCTTCGTTAAAACATCATTTCTACCTATCCATCCCTATCTCTGTCTTCTTTAATTCCCTCATTCCCTATTCTCTTTACCTCCTCCCCCTCCCTTTCCTTATTTCTCCCCTTCCCCTTTAACCTTCCTTTATTTTCTTCCCTTCCCCCCTCCATTCCTTTCTCTCTTTTCCCCCCTTCCCCTTCACCCCCACCCTTTCCTGTTCATCCCCCTTTCCTCTTTCTTCCCTTCCCCTTCCTTTCCTTCTCCATTCCCCTTTACCCTTGATTTATTTACCTTCCTTCCCCCATTCCCTTCCCTTTCTTTCCCCGATCCCTTTCTCCCTTCAACTTCCCTTCTCTCCCTTTCCCCTTCCCATCCCTCCCTTTCCCTTCAAATCCCCTCCTCTCAGTCCTCTTCCCATCCCTCCCTTTCCCCTTCAAATCCCTCCCTTTCCCCTTTCTCCTTCCATCCATGCCTCCTACCCACTCCTTCTACCCTCCTCCTACCCACTCCTTCTACCCACTTCCTACCCACTCCTCCTATCCCCCTCCTCTTCCCCAACTATCCTTTCCCTTAATATACATACATCCTCCTCCTTCGCGTCACCATACAGTGCAATTGTACAACAGTATTCGGTGCAGCACAACGCCCCAGGATACATTTACTTGCACGTACAATTTACGTACCAGATGCCACGTACTAACGCGTGAGTACGTAATGGGTAAGTACTTTACGGTTAGTACATCGAGGGAAGTATCGTTATGACGTCATGGATCATCATTACGGTAATTAAGACTCATAACGTGTTTTTTTTTTTCCTTTTCTGTTTCTTTTTTTTTACTCTATTTCCCTCCGTTATAGCAATTTACCAACAGTAAAGATAATAACACAATCATCTAAAACAAACAAACAAATGAAAAAAAAGACATAAACGACACCAAAAATAAACACGAAAAAGGAGAAAAAAAACAAGCAAAAGCAAAGCAAAAAAAACAAACAAACAAAAAAACAGAAACCAAAGAACAAAACCAATAAATAAATAAATAAATAAAAACACACACACCAGACAACCAAGAACGAAGACTTAGGAAAGGGGACGAAAAGAAGCGAAACTTAGTAATCGCCGTGGTAACATGGTTGCAAGGGCAGGTGCCTCACCTATTGAATTTCACATGCAACCTTGTGCCGAGCTTATATAAAAAA